AAGATCCATATCATCCGACCCAGAAACCCAAAGCCATCGACCCAACAAAGAAACCAAATCCAACGCGCCACGCCGCCAAAACGAAAACAAATTTATTCAGCCAACCGCCCAGCTCCACGCCTCCAGAAGAAAAACAAGTCAACATGCCCAGCGCCAAACAAAAACACTTTCATGTACTACGACCGACCAAGACGCCAAACAAAACAACTCGACCAGTGTCGGCACCACGAGCATTCAACTTCATCAACATCAGACCACCCGACATTTCGCGTCGGTCGCCAAGCCAATGACTTCCATCAGCCCGCGAGTTCAAAGTGGGTACCCCCCGTGTACCTTCGGGTGCTGCAGCTCCAGGTCGGCCCAAGGTCGCATCCAAGTGGAACTCCGCAACACAGGTCTGGCTCACGACCGCGGATGCTGCTGGTCGATCAAGTAGCTTGACGATGGACCACATACTAGAAAAATAAACCCTTCGTGGTACTCCCGGTAATACACCGCCTGACAAAAGTGACACCACACGGCTCCCATGCCGACAGCCGCTACGGCAAGGCTCAACAACGTACTAGTACGCACGATCAACAAGCTTCATGAACACTGCCGAAGACTAAGCGAGCTCGCGCTTATCGTGAGCACTTGTAATTCGCATTTGGATTTGCCTCCTAGTAGTCTCTGCCCTGTAAGCCTCTAGTGTGTCCTTACATGTCAACCATAGGCGATTCCGTCTCAAACGTGATGATGTCGACAAGTGGTGTCGGCGTCCGCCCCTATATGGCACTACGATCTTACTGTGGTTTTGGAGTGCGTCGTGCCTTTCAGATGGGACTACGATCTTAGTTTGGAGGCATCTTGGAACGCGTCTCGCTACGGCTGTACAGTACGTCTCGGACGTCGACGCGACCTCGCTTTTCGTACGCCTCCAAGTGTCGCCTGCCTACCGGTATGTGCCGAACCTAGCCGAGTTCAGTTTCAAACGCCATTTGGTCGACCGCGCATCCTGGCGGCGATGCAGTAGATGGCATTGGCACAGAAGAACGAGAAAAATAGTCAAAAAGTGCCTCCCAAGAGAATGAATTTGACGTCTGTTGTGTCTGGTTTGGTCAAGCCATGCCAGGCCGATGCGAGCGTGTGTCGCTGAAGAGCTATGACTCCAGGAGGCAAATAGCCCAGAGTCTGTGTAGTCCGTGCGTGCCTGGTGTAGATAGGATAAGGCTAGCTGCCATGGACGGATGATGTCCGGTAGCGACCCTATACGGTAGTGACCCCAGTTGGAGCCTCCTGGCGACGGTCTCATCCGGCACGGCCTATCTTTCTATCCGCGGCGCAGGCTTTCATGGTCCCACTTCTCAATACCTCTCGATCTGCCTTCGTAGCGTAACGCAATACAACTGCCTGCTTCCTGGGAGATGGCTCTCCCCTCGCTGCGTTGTCTGCGTTGCACCGCGGAAGCCACCACACGTCCTCGCCACTGCAGCTCTACATTGATCTATCTTTTGGACGGACCCACCGCAGTATGGTTCCCGGCACAAGGCCGGTAGCGTTGCACGGTTGCCATGTGAATGCGTGTTTGCAGTAGGCAGTGTTCGCTGAACGAACATTGTACACGAACCCGTGCACCGACGTTTCGATGGCACCCAAACGGTCCATGCTGCCACACAGACTTACCGCGAGATGTCGTAATACCAAACCGACACAAAAACCTCGACGACTCCCAACACAGACCTTCAACACAAATCAAACAACTGCGGCGCATGCAACACAAACACCGCTATATTGGAGCAACTTGGACCGGACCAGGTAATGGACAAATTGCCTGCGCTTCTCTTCGACTCTCTTGCGCGTTGGATCTCGATGAATCGCACCCGTATCGGTCACCACTAGGGACACAGCAGATGCCTCAAATACGTCGTCGAGATCCACCTTGGGCTCTCTGGTCCTCTTGTATGGGACCACATGTACCGTTGTACGGGCGCACCACGGTGAGCCTCGATGGATAGCACTTTGTAAACTGAGAATCACAATATGCACCAAGGCGAGTCGGAGCTGGGTTTGCGTCCAGCTCGACTCGGCAATTTGGGTCCGGATCATCCGGATGCTGTAATTATAAAGCAACACCAGTTTCCCATAGAATCTCCAAATGTTTTCTGCATGTTATTAATACATCGCTTTGCCGAACTTGTCGACTTGGCCGACGAGCCTGACAAGCCCTCCTCCGCGCTCTGTGGCCGAGCACCGACGGCTATCACCACGCGGCTTGACGCTGCCTCTGTCGCCATTGTGCCCAAGCGCGACCATGGAGATGAACCGCTTCGTGGCCACGCCCAGCCCGTAGGCAGCAGCCAGTCTCGCCGATCCTGCTCGTGGACCTCAACCCAGCAGACACGCGCATGGCATTGGGTGGCAGCAACCGCTTCGTCAAGGCCTTTGGTATCGAGAAGGCTTTTGCACGCTCAGCTTCTACAAGCTCGCGGGCATGTCCACGCACGTCACGTCCCGTGGGTCGCGACCTCGAGCGGCGGGATGACGCGTAATACGCGCCACTGCCTCCTGTATCCTTGTCATATCTCTGTGTCTAGTGCGCGTGTGGAGGCTCTACGCACAGGAGGCCGTCGCGTGCTCCAAGGACTACAGGAACCCGGCGACGACCGCGGCATTTGCCCTTGGTGCTCCTATACATTGCATTTCGCACAACATCTCAACTCGTAGACGGCCACACGCTCCTTTCGTCAGGTCACGACTAGGAGAGAGTGCTGGCCCACGAGCCCGTGACGGGCCTTGCCGCCGAGCGGTGCATCGGCAGAAGGCCAGGTCAAGCGCTGAGTCTCGAACGCCATGGCAGCGCAGGCCAAAGAAGCTTGAAGTACACGAACCTGCTGTCGAACGTAAACGATATCAGTTTAGGTGCTCGTCTATCCTGCGTCTTCTAAATTGCGTTGACACGGGCATGAACGGCGGAGCTGGTCGACTGGGTCCGAAAGTTGTTGCTGCGGGGTCGCAAAATAGCACGTAGAGCCTTTGTCCATCACGAGTGGCTTGCAGCGGGCCGTCAAAAATGATCCGAGCATTTTCCAATGTTTGCTACATTTCTACATTTGGTCATGCACGGCAATGGCTGGTGTGCAACGATCCCACCCCATCACAGAAAAGTCACAAATTGGGAAAGTTCGGTCCCATGACAGATCGCGACTGGGCGATCTCTCCCAGATCGACTCAGTGATGCGCTTCCGGTATATCTTTGCCCGCGTCTCGATCACATCATCATCAGCCCAAGGAACCAGTGCCCTTGGAATGGCGTCACCCAAATCCAGCCAAACCTTGGCCCTCCTGTGCTTTCGCCCCGCGGGCGCCGTCGCCCTGCATCCGCGAAGTCCCGGTGCCTCCCGGCCCTTACACCGCCACCAGTCGTCCGGCCTCGCCGCGCGCGGCGTCGATTCTATGGGCTCGGTAGATATCTGATTTCTTCGGATGCGAGCTCGGACGGTTTCGTTTGAAACACACCCGACGGCCAGCCCGACGGCTTGCACTGCTCTGTCGGGTGGTCGGAGTACAGGAGCCTGCGTACGACCTCGCGCGAGCTATCCCTCGGCGAGAGGGGATCCACGGTGGACCCAGATTCATCCCGTGGTGGACGGTATACCACGGGATAAATCTCTCCATGCGCAGGTAACTCCCAGCGACCAACTGCTGGTGCCAACTCCCACGCATTCCGCCGTAGCACTACGTATGCGAAGCCTTGGAGTTGGTTTTTGCAAATTTGATTTCAACGCGAACACGTTTGATTGATTGATTAATTGAGTGATTGATTGATTGATTGATCGATCGGATATGGACCAATTAGGGCGGGGATGATGGACCTTTGCGTGGGGGTTGTTCGGGGTCGGAACCGTGTTTTGTAGAAGACCCCGGAGCAAAAGGGCTCACCGCTAAATCAGAACGCGTGTGAGGTGAAGAGGGTTGATAATGATGAGCGCACGTACCACTTGCAGCGCATAAAGTTGCAGCCCATGGAGCGCTCGACAAGCACGCAGCACTTGGGACACTGCTTCCAGCCCATCTTGAGCGTCATGAGCTGAGCTCGCTCGTGGTCGCCGCCGGTCGACCATGCGCTTGTACGCGTCGCACGTGAGACCGTCGTGCCAACCCACTTGACTGCGGTCCCGCAGATGGGGCACGACGTCTGCTCTTGCCCCGCTCGGATCGCAGGCTTGAGGACCACTTCACTGCACTCCTTCATGGGGCAGTAGAAGCTTTCGCCTTCCATGGCCTTGACCGTCACGAGCTGGCTAAACTGCTCAAAGAGCTCGGGCACGATGACGGCCGCGACGTGGCTCGGACGGGTCTCTCGCCTGCACTGCATGGCGCAGCACGTGACGGGGGCCGCGCGGTCCTTGACCTAGCACTTGATCCAGCCCGAGAGGCTGCCGAAACAGTCATTGTGGCTGCAGCGGAGCCGCCAGCAGGCCACATCCGCGAACCGAACCTCCTTGCGGCGCTACGCCACGCGTGTGTTGATGGGCTTCCCGAGCGTGTCCATGCAGATGGGGCACGTCGCCCGGCTCTCGGGCGTGGCTGGCGGGTCCGCGAGCTCGACCCAATCTGCCCAGTCCGCCATGTTTCGGGCAGGTCAGCAAAAGAAAATGACCGAATTAAAGGCGTGTCCGTGGGGAGAAATTCTCTCCACTGACAAGCTTTTTATGCCAACGGCCCGTTGGCAACGGGCCAATCTCACATCAATTTGATCACGAATGGCGCGCCCAGTGTTTAATTACATACAATAATCAAGTGAAAACTTGCATTCTCTGAGAGAATGCAAGATTTGTTTTGATGGGAGAAAGATTGGCCCGTTGGCGTCCGCTTCGCGCGCCAGCAGTTCGCTACGAGCCGCCGCGTCGCAGGTGCTGGGACTACCAGCTACCAACGAATCAAAGGCCCCACGCCTTGAACGTGTTTTGTGACCCGTTCTTTTTTGCGATGCGCGACAACGTTTTGACGGCAACGATTGCTTTGGCCTCAGGTAGGGTGACGTTCTTGACCAAGCCCGCGGCGCGCTCGATATGCTCTAAGACACAGAAGACCGAGAGGGACGTCTTCCGCCCCTCCAGAAGGAGCTCATCCTCGCGGCCATCGACGCCGTCGACGTGCTCGGTCATGGTCGTCGAGTATGCGCTCAAGAAGCGCACGGTCAAGCTCGTCGACTGCGGCCTCGACCACGGCTCTACCCACTACTAGCAGCAGCGCTTCCCGAGCATGACGCTCACGCGCCGATTCGACCCGCACATGCACAACATGGACGGCTTTTACGTGGCCAAGGTCAAGAAGTACGTCAACGCCAAGCCCGACGACAGCTCCGATGACGACAGCAAAAAAAGGCGGACAACGAGTCCAATGAGCCCTCCAAGCGCGAGAAGCGCCAGCTCGAGAAGGTCACCAAGAATGCGGCCGATGCCATCGACAGGGCCAGTGAGGACGACGCTGAGGAAGAAGAGGCGGCTGAAGCTTCGGAAGACGAAGAGGAGGCCGTCGTGGAAGCCAAGCCCGTCAAGAAGCAGCAACAGACGGTAGCCAAGCCTGCGGCCAAGAAGATCCAGGGCAAGAACCAGGCAAGGGCAACATACCCCGACGTTGAATGCCAAGGCCATGAAAGCATACGATGGCCAGCGTCCGATTCGCTGTTTCGTTTGCTTCGAACTTTGTATAGAGTTTCGATAGTAGACTCGACCGCTGCTCCGCCGCCTCCGACGAAGGTTTGTACGCGTGGTGGCGACCGAGATGACTATACTACGTCGTTCGATATCGTCAACTAGTTCTTGGACACGGTGCATCGAGAGCAGATAATTACACACCGTACTACACCTATCCCTAGTATGTGGCGGGACCTTCGGAATCGCTTCTTCATGGTCTTCTAGTTCTTGAGCTTGCACCGAAAGTCAACGTCTTGCGGAGACTCATCCAGTCGACCTCGTGCGTCTCGGTCCACGGGTCCGGCTTGCAAAAGCTCGCGACAAAAACTAGCACGTCAACAACCTGCCGCTTCGGGAGCGCATCCGTCGCCATCACCGGCTCGTCTTCCGTCTCGTCGCCATCTATGGCTTCGTCGTCCGTGCTGTCGTCCTGGACGACCTTGCGCACCGTGTTGGCAAAGAGCCACGTCGGGCTTCTCCTCGAGCGGCTTGGCGTCGACGTGGTCATCGACATCGTCTTTGATGACGTCGCCGCCGCCAAACATGGACGCAAAGCCAAAGCCACTCGACACGGCCGCAGCCGGCTTGACGATACCATCGAGCGCGGCTTCCATCTCTTCGCCGTCCCCCGAGTTGGCGCGAGTACATGGTCGAGAGGCCCGACTTCGCGGCAAAGTACCGCTCCTCCGACACCTCAGGCATCGGCGTCTCCTTCTGGACTGGCATCGGCGGCAACACTTCGCCATCGCCACCGGAGCTGCTTGAGGTCCTTGGCGCCTGAGACAGACCGGTGCAAGCGGGCCGTCGCTCGCTCCAATTCCATGTTGGGGAAGACGAGCGAGAGCGCGACACTGCAATGTACGCCCGCTTGGCGACCTCGCCGGCGTCCGGCGTGGCCCATGCCTGGATTGCGTGTTCATCCACGTCGTGCGTAGCGTCGTCAACACCGTCGTTGAGCTCGTCGCCCTCGACGAAGCGCGCGCCGAGGCGGAAACGCTGGTCGCCGCCCAACCGTTTTTGCACATGAAAGAGTCGCTTGGCCTCCGCGCCGGCAAACTCGGGCCGGAACTCGAAGAGCGCTTCGGTCTTGCGCCGCGTGAGCCCGAGGAAATCATCGTCGTCCTTGTTGGCATCATCATCGCCGTCCGAGTCGCGAAGAACGCGCGCTTGTTGGACGTCGCCGGCGTTGACGTGGTCTATACCTCCGAGTCGTCACCAAACGATCTTCTTGTTGGTCGCAGCGATCGGCGTCGGCTGCTTCTTCATCGCGACCATCTGCGCCTCGCGCTCGTTGATGGCCGCATCGCGACGGGGTTTCGCAGCTACGTCCACGACAGGCGCAGCAAGCGTCATTTCGACGGGCGCGGCCTCGAGCTCCTTGGCGGTCTCGGCCTCGATATCGACATCTCCGTCGTTGTCTTCGCTGTCGCTGTCGGTTTCGCTGCTGCTGCTGGAGGCTGCTTGCGCCTGGACGTAGGCGAGCACCAACTTCCGCTTGATCGCCGCTTCCATGTCAATGTCATCGGCCGGCGACGCCTCGTCTTCGACCGCCACGTCGTCTTGCTCATCTTCTTCGTCTTCTACGTCTTCTGACGTCTTTGAGCTCATGGCCGCGTCCTCGGGCGCATCGACGTCCTCGTCCGACGTCTCGGAGCTTAAGTGACCGTCGTTCTGGTCGGCGTCTTCCGTGTCCGACTGCGGGGCCTCAACCACGACCGTCGCCGCCACGGGAGCCTTAGACGCCACGAGGGCATGCGCTTGCCTCCGTAGCGCTTGCCCTTTTGAGCTCCATTGCCGGCGCTTCGTCGGCTTGGGCAGGTGCAAAGGCGCGCTCACGCTCGGCGACCTCGTCGTCGGTCTACGCCGCCTGCAGCCGCTGCACAATGTCGGGCTTGGCCGAATCGACGCGCAGCCGCTTACCCTCCCACTAGGGATTGTGGTACGCCTGGACAAAGGCGTCGACGTCTCGGTGGCCACGTCGCCGGACGGCGATGCGATCTGCAGGTAGGCAAAGTCGTTGGCCGCCGAGTTGGCCATCAGCTGGACGTCGTCGATGCGCAGGTCAGCGTTGTCGGCTGTTGGTGAGGAGGCGCTCGAAGCGCGAGACGAGCAAGGACTTGGTCACAACCTCGGGCAGCCGCCCCAGGTGGAGCCGCTGGAGCATGGAAACTTGCTCTCGACCTCGCTCACGCAAACCTTGACCAATTATCCGGACATAATCCGGATGCCAGCCGGTAGTTCCAAAATGATCGCCACGGCGACGACGACGAGCCATGACGCTGCGGCCGAAGGGGCAGACGAAGCTGCGCGTCGAGCTTGGAGCGCGCGCGACGTCTGATAGCACTGAGCCGCATGCTTACAACCTCGACAACCTTCCGCAGCGTGCTTTGCTGCTCGCACATGGCCGTCTACCTCACGACAGGAGCAACACCATGCATTGTCCGCCGCAACCCTCTCGCCCAACGTCGCCTCATCCCCGATCTCTACTGTAGCTTTCGACGCCCACACCGTCTGACAGAGGCCGTGCACGTCGACGACCCGCACGATTGGCACTCGCCAGGATGCGCCGCGTGCGCCCGAGTCCGCGGCGTCAACAACGCGAGCGTGTCGCTGACCTCGATCTTTGTGGCATCGACGTGGCGCTTGATCGCGTCTGACACGAGGTACACAGTCTTTTTCGCCGCTTGTGTCTCACAGAGGATCAGCATGGCGCGTCTACGTCGTGCCGTGTGCGCCAGAAGCGCCCCAGATGTGGAAGCGCGTCATCTCCAACACCTTACGACGCTGCGCTCGATCCTCGAGCCGCTCATGCTCATCATACAAAAGTTCTTGTGCAAGCACGTTGAGAAGGAGACCGTCGCACACTCGGCGAAATCGTTGGCGAATGCGTCATGCCCAATGCCGTTCCGATCCAGCGGATGGGCATCCGATGAGCCAGCATGTTTTCGGGCGTCTGCCTCTGTCTTGCCGAGGTCATTCCGTCCTTGCCCAAGACGCAGCTCAATCCAGAAAGTGTGCTCAAGGTCAAGTCGCGTAGGAGCTTCCGTGCTGCATTTTCGCTCGACACCAATGGCCTTGTCCAACGTCCAAGCCATTACGCGCATGTCTCGAAGCGTTTCTGCGTACCAGCACGCTTGAGTGAACTGTACGACCGTGGCGCGCCAGATCGCTGCGGCCGGTCTCGGTGAGCGTGTGCAGCTGGCATCGCCCGCGTGCCTTCAGACCCATCAACATCACTGCTCATTTTGGGTCGCTATTGACCGCTCTCTCAGCTACATCAAGGGTCCGAGTCTCTGAGGCTCGAGATCTTGGTCATCAAGAGTGGCGTCGTGCTCCAGCTTCTCTTGGCGCAACTCCAGACGACGTTTGTCAAGGCGGCAGTATATGTACCAGCTGTGCGACGTTTTGGAGCAGCTTTAGAACCGGTGCTGATGAAAAATACAGTTCTTTTGATATATGTGTTTGCTCTCCTTTGCAGAGGCAGGATGCAAGGCAATACTACGTACACTCGAAGCTCTTTGACTGGTTCCTAGAGCATGATACCGCGCCATCGTGTACGAATCGCCTGGTTTACTTGCTTCTCGGCCATAGGTCTCGGCGGCGGTCCTTGCACGCTGCCACGTACAGTCTATGTGACCAACGCGGGTCAGGTGCCACGTCATTATGCGTTGCGGAAGGACCTTCCAGAAAGCATAAAGCTTGCCCGGACGTGGATCAGTCTGCTGCAAATCCTACGTGGGGAACACGAAACGACCTGATTTCATATCCAGATCGTAGCTATATCAGGACAAGGGTATTTTCGAGGCATGGCTGGCATCCTCCCGGGGATATCCAGGACGTTTTTGGTTTAAACAACCAAAGACCGATTTGACTTTGTCAAACGTTGCTGTTAGACTTGGCAAGTGTTGAAAAAACACTTCCGGCGTGCTTCGTACACTGGCGGTTGAAATTCGGTGCTTTGCTTGGTACGACCCGACGCCTTGTAATCAGCAAACACAATTCTCGAATGGCTTCCATTCTACAGTCTTGTGGCTTTTACAGGCTAGGTTGTGCGGAGAAGCACCACTCAACACCAAGTGTACGGAACACTTTTTTTCATTTTTTTTCATTTTTTCATTTTTTTCTCTTGGCCCGCGCCAACGCGAGGTCGACTCCACGGCGTTTGATAATGAAATCGGCAAGGTTTGGTACATTGGTATTGTACCTTATAGAGGACGCTGTGGAGAGTGCGTAGAGAGAGGTCGCGTCGTCGTGCACCGGACGCGAGGCGCGATCCAAGATCTTTTTGGCACATGCCACGAATAAGATCGGAGTGCCATTTTTAAACCACCAACCGCGAGCCGATGCAACTCGGCCGCCGATCTCGCGTTTGAAATTAATTCGCCCATACTTGGCACATTGAAAGAAGACACTTTGGGGAGTAGAGCATCTCGCGGCGCAAAGCCAAATGGCGCTCGTCTCGAGCACCTCACACTTGACGTCCTGCTGCTTGCACACGGCAGCCAGCACCGAGACCGCCGCGACGACATCATGAACCTCTCGCCCGCCACGAACCTCTCGCTCGACATCGCGTCAGATGCGATCTGTGCTCAAGCTACCGACGAATGGAGCTTCTCGGGCGGTCAACAACAGTACCCATGTCCACGGCGTGCTTCGCCGGACCTCTTTCTTCCAGGTGTCGGCGCGGCGCTGGTTCACGTTTGGCACAATGTACCACGCGTCTTTGACGCGACTCGGGTCTCACAGAATGAATAGGCTCCGGACTCGAACGAGGTTTCTCGTCTGCCGCTGTAGGTGAATTTCCTCCTCCATGTCGTGCTTGTCCCAGGATGAAACATGCGCGCGCTCGTTCCGGACCAGCTCTGAACAGCCTTCATGAGGCTGCGAACGATCTTGCCGGTGCGTCGTTCGACCGCGACGCACGAGACCGAAATTGTTGCGCTCTTCGGAGTCATCTCGTGCTCTCGCACCAAGCGCTTGTCGTGCACGGCCAGCCAAGGACGCCTTTGCGAGCGAGAGGACGCGCCTCAAGGCCTGGTTCGTGTCGACCTCGCGCCGCCGGGTGCGATGTATGATGAGATGGTGCCGACGGTGCACGGCGACCACGTCGACGAACTTTTTATGTGGTGCCGAGTCGCACGGACGCGTCCCTCGAGGCCAAGCTCTACGCCTCGAGCGCGCAGCGTGCTCTTACGACGCTACCGAATTTGCCGGCGATGGCCAAAAAGGTCCAGTACACGAAGCAAGAGCTCAAAGCGCTTCGGCAGCAGAAGGAATGCGCAGCCGCTTGGGTGAGGCCAAACACCTCGTGGCGCGCACAGCGCCGAGGCTTTCAAACCTGCGCTGCTGCACCTGGTGGCGCCGATTCGGCTGCTTCTCCCGAGCCCGATGTTTGCACCCTTTGCCTTCCGCCGCCTCATGTACCTCGTAAGGTTCCTCATGCTCACGAACCTCCACGCACATGCGTCCGAGCTCACGTCGGCCCCGCACATTGGCTACGGTATCTCGCCCGAGACGACTGCCCAGCTTAATGGAAACATTTTTAAGCGTCTCTTTCGCACATTGTTGGCCCACTCGATGGTGTGCCGGCAGTTTGTGCCGCCGCTCGTTGCTGTTCACACCAAGATGATCTGTCGAAAAGTCGAGCCCGAGGTCGGCGGCATGGCGGCCCAGCGCTTGCTGCGCAAGAGCACGCTCGCGGTCGCACTGGCGTGGATCGAGCACAATATCAAGGAGGAGTTCCCGGCGTCGGCCAACCGACCATGTTTTGCAGCAGATCCACGCCGGCGCGCCTTTGTTTTTATACGTGTGCGCTAATCGTCGACGACCTCAGCTTGCTCTCGACTCTCGTGCAAGCTTGTCCTGCGTGCTCGAGGCGACGCTCGCCAAGTTCGAAGCACAATTTGACGAATATCACGAGTGGCTCATTTCAATCGCACCACAAACAAATTTTAGAGTCGCTTGCCATTCATCTGCTACTCAGTTTTTGGTCATATTGCTTGACTTCAATGGATAGTTTATTGTCCATGCTTTTTTGAGAACGAATTTGCTACTGGGGACGATGAGGCCTGAATTGAATTGTGATTGGAATTTAACAACGGACAGGCCTCCGTGAAAATCCTTTGGCATCTGATTGGCCAAAAAGCCTCCATAACGTGGCAGCGTGTTTGTGCAGTATAATGAAAGCATCCTATGATGAAGACATCACAGGCATTAACATGTAGCAAGCTTATAAAATGTTAACCACCGCTATCCAAATGATTATTGCCTGCCTTGGAGGGCCGGCAAAGGAGGTTGTAAATGCTGAAAATCTTCGCCTGCGATGTGCGACGTGTGCGATTCTTCTCCGATTGGGCGCTGATACGATCGAGGGCGCCTTTTACTTGTTCAAACGCCGCTTGCGCTTCGTTGTGCATTCGATTTGTGCAGGCGCAATGCATCGGTACGGAGGTTGATTCTGCGGCATTGCCGCACCACCAAAGTCGCCATGCTGCCGCAACGTCAACCTTGGGGAGGTCGAAATCGGTTGGAAGCTCAACGTAGCGTTGACCTTCTTGAGGTTGCGGTAGATCTCGACGTATGGCAGCACACCCGTCACAAGAATCGTCGCGTCGTTGCGCGGGGCCAATAGCGGCGCGAGCGACGCGCGGATCGTGGGGCCCGTGAATAGAATCGACGAGAGAGGCGCGTGCGTCGGAGGCAAGGTCGAGACGAGGTAATCGTAGTGGTACAGAAGGCTCGCGAGCAGTGGATGAGCAATACCAACCATGGTCGAGGAGTTGGCGAGGCCGGGAAAGACACGGGCGACCTGCGCTGCAATCGTCGGGTTGTCGACAAAATAAGAAGGCGCAACGGCAAAGTTTGCGCTGCTGATGAGTAGCCTATACATGACGCGTCCCACGAACTGGTCGCCAGCTTCCTCGTACTTGAAGTAGCGCTCCATGACGTGGCCGAGCGACCAGCCGCAACGCAAGCACACCGAGACACGACGGATGGCCCACCCGTGGACCCCGAGCGCTGCTCGCGGTCGATCGCAT